TTTGATCTAACATTAAATTTTTATTCTCCATAAGGTTACAACTTCCTAAGAAGAAAGTTTAACAAGACTTACCAGACCCAAAATATCAAAATTTTAGCGACCAATTGATGGTTCTACTGGTTTCCATAGGAAAATTCTCCTCGAAACTACTAAAAGAAAAGTGGCAGAGGCAACCGAAGAAGGCAAAAAAGTCTTTTGCAAAACAAAAACTAGAAATTTGTTTAAGAATCTAATTATTGTTTGAAGTTTTACCATTAATAATTTTTGATAACGATTTAAGATTATGAAGTTTTATTATGTATTTTACTCTTTGTTTAAATTTTTATTAGGACCAAAATAAATTATAATTTTCATTTCAACTACAAAAACTCTCATAATATTAAAAAGGGGAAAAACGTTAGATTAGTTATGTTCAGGAATAAACACTTTAAACATTTATCTACTTAAAATGTGTTACTTTTAGATGGTATGTTATTAACTTTCTATTTGTACCTACTTGTATTAATTTATTTCATTTTATTATCTGTTGTATTTTCAAATTGATTTCGATATTAATCTTATCTATTAATATATTTTTTTTTATTCACATATATGTTTTTTTTCATTGAAACAAACGTTTATTAGCTTATTAAATATAATTAAGTCATGTTGTTTTATTATATGCTTGTATGAATGATTACTTTTATTTCCTTTTAAAAATGAATTTCAAAGATAAAGCCGAAACGATTAGCGAGAATTAAAAATTAGACGAAAGTGACGATATTTACTGGAGCTTTCATCTACACGCTCCTTTTTCTAGCCATCTACACCTGAGCCAGCAAAATTGGTATTTCCTCCATCCTTATATTCTCCAGATTTACAGAGAAAACGCCGTCCTCTTTAACATATCCAGACCTTCTTTGACGGAGACTATACCACTACTTTACATTATCACAGCTTTATTTCTTATCCCGAGCAATTTAAATGTATTTGTAATTGCTCATTCTCACCTTTTCTCTTGTAGATTCCGTACTCAGTTTTCTTATTTTTAGTTGTGTTTGCACTGCTCTTTTATTTTCGAAGCTTTAATTCTATAATGCTGTAACGCTACAATATGGATCCATTTTTGTGGTTTATACCACTTAATATTATTCGTAAGTGACCAACCTATTATAATAATTAAAGAATATTGTATTACAGGCCTGAAGATGTTCCTGTAAGGCCGAAACTAGTCGCTCCTGTATTTATTTATAATAAAATTGATTTTAAGGTTTTATTCTTCAATTGAAAAAATTAGACCTTTACAGTGATTTTGTTTCATTTCCTGCATTAGACACATATAAGACGGTATTCTTTTAAAAAATAGTAAAATTAGCAAATTTTTTAGTTTGTTTTTACAATTAAAACGTTAGGACAATGTGTGTTTTTATAGATAAATGATACGCCACTGAACAAGAAGGATGTTTACCTTCCCCCTTGTGCCCGCTTCCTCACTTCCTCTACAGATGTTGCTAACACAACAATCGCCTACAAACTCGTTTTCACGCTCCCTCTATTAGTAATTGCTCGGAGGGAACAACCCACGGTTCGTAGACAACACGGTTGTCTCCTGGGTAGCTATTCTTGAATCTCAGGGAGTAGAAATTTTGAGGGAAGAATGAGACAAAAATACAAATTTTGTGTGTTGCAGATAAAGAGGAGAAACCGGTTTTCTACTCCCTCGAATTCAAGAATAGCTACCCAGATGCGTTGCTAAGGAAGACACGGAATGCAAAATCGAGTTGACAGAAAATATTCTGCTGCGGTTTGTACATTAGTTTTTTAAAAAAAACTAATATTTTATTAATATTTAGTGGTGTTTATATTTTTATTTTTGGACTATACACCTTGGAGTTTTTATAAAATCGGTAATTTGATTTTTTGAAAGACAAGCCACAAAACGCCATGGAAAAATCGTGTAATGATTTCCATCAAACTTCAAATGAATTTTTATTTGAATTACAAAGAGAAATATTATTGTGTGAATGGTTTATTTGGGTACGGTCGACTTTAGGTCCAGTAAAATTTTAAAGAAATTTATTTTTTATCAGAAAGAGCGTATTTTAAATAGTACATTTCAAAAAAAAAATTTGAATTCGCGGTAAATGCTATATTTAAGCCAAAAAAAATTATTTAATTTCTATAAAAATCAGCATTTTGACGATTGTAAACATGGAAACTCGATGGTTTCTGTCAAATTTAGAAAATATAAATACAACGTTGCCAGATTGTGATAAAATTAGTAGTTAATGGAAAATTGTGATTGTGCATACCGATCCATAAATATGCAACAAGAAAACGAAGCAACGACTTATCGTAGGGTGGCGGCAAAGCCGCCACCCTACGATAAGTCGTAGAGTGGCGGCTTCGCCGCCACCAAAAAACATTAACCCATACCTGGCTACGCCGGCCGGCACAGACTCCAACGGGCTGGACACAGCTCAAATTGTGAAAACGTAAATTTTTTTACCTAATTTCTTGCGATTGCGCATACTAGTCCATAAATATGCAACAAGAAAACGAAGCAACGACTTATCGTAAAGTGGCGGCTTCGCCGCCACCCTACGATAAGTCGTAGAGTGGCGGCTTCGCCGCCACCAATAAACATTAACCCATACCTGGCTACGCCTACCGGCATAGACTCCAACGGCCTGGACACAGCTCAAATTGAATAATTGAAATGAAAAGTCTCATATAAACACATTTACATTCTGGTTTTATCATTTGGCTTGGAGCTATTGGAAAAACAGCCACTGTCATTCCTGTTATGTACGTTCTTTTACTATGTTTGACAACTCCACATTTATAGAAATAAAAATATCAGTTGTCATATTATTCATAAAAAATAATATAGAACAGTATTACCATGAATATATTTATTTATAACAAATAAGAAAAAGCAATTGGCAACATCGCTAAAATCACGCACAGGCGCTTTTAGTGTAAATGTCAAATCGAAAAAATTAAAAACAATATGGCTACGTGAGAATGTAGTGAATAAATGCATATTCTTAATTTTTTTAGCTTACAAATGTGTTTTAATAATATTTGTTACTTTAATTAAGTTAGTGCACACTTATAGAAGATTAAAAAGTGTAAAAATATTATGGTTTTACTTAATCTTTATGAAAAAAGTGACAAAATTACTGGACCTAATATCGACCTTAGCGGTTTATTTGAAATATTTTGGATTAAGTAGCTATATTTAGTTTTTGTGTAGTCAGTAAAGACTACGGAATTGCGGAAGCCATACTAGTTGTTTTTTATTTGTTAAATAAATCATAGTTATTTGTTTTACACTTGTTTCAATTTTCGTTGGTTTATGAAAACTTACCATCATTCAAAGGCGGGGGTATTGGCTTAATCCAATCTCTGAGAGAGAGAGAGAGAGAGAGAGAAAGAGAGAGATACTGCCAAAGGGAATAGTCCCTGTAGGGCAAACCCTTTCCCCGTCCTCTGAATCATCGTCAGGAAGTTAGGCCCATCCCGTCTGAACTTAACCCCCTAGCTGTGTGTTGTCTAGAGGCAAATTTAAATACAAATTGGGTCCCTCTATGTAACTCATGGTTGCCGCTAAGAGTGGACTTTATGATCAGTCAAAACGGCATATAATCTCACTCTTAACAATAATATAGCTATTTCATTATGCCTCTCTGAAAACACCATGTTTCCTTAACATTTTAAGACGAGAGTGTTGTAAAAAAGGATTCTGCACTATGTTTCGAAGCTAAAGCAGCAGTTCATTTCTTTAAACATTGGTATAATTTTGAATGTTGATGGTAGTAACTGAAAAAACCAATGTAAAGTTCAACCGGAAATAAGAAATTTTTATTTAAGTAACTACAGAGAAAATATATTAAAAACCTGACTGACTTTTACAAAAACTCAAAACCTAAAACAAACATGGGTCAGCTGAACTGCTTTATAATTTCTTAATTTCTGATGAAATCCACAAACCGCTTGTTCCAACATCGTGGAGATTTTTTTAAGCCATACAAGCTATGTTTTGGTATACACACTCTTTCTGTATGATAATCAAATCCCTCTGGGTGCTTCATATAAACCTCCTCCTGCGGTTGGCTATACAAACCCACAATATTCATGTCAAATTGTACCAGTTTTAGACATTACAATGCAGTTATACTAAGGACTAAAGGTTTTATCATGATTATAATTACCATAATTTATCAAAAAAGTTTGTAATTTGTATACTTTATTAATTAAATGTAAATAGGTTAGATGTAAGAGTCGCCATAGGCTAAATCTCACCCTATTGTGCACTTTATTTTTATAATCTATATTTTGTGCAAATAAAGACATTTATTATTATTTCCTTAATATGCTTTTTATTTTAGGGGCAAAGCCCATGACTGAATATTGTCAAAAGAAGCTACAAATAATTCTACAGGAACGAATTTTTACAAGTGCTATTGTTTCTCGGTTTCCCAGGTATAACACAAGCAGTTCAGAATAACAATTTTACTATGAACAAAGGTATTTAATGCTCTAAAAAAATTCAAATCAAAACAAACATCTAGTTGTGATAATATTCCAAGTTTCATAGTTAAGGATTGTGGTGGTGTATTCAGCAAACCTCTACAAACACTTATTAATATTTATTTCTCTCAAACAAAAAGTATTACCAGATTTATGGAAATATTACAAAATATGTCCAGGTCACAAAAGTGGACAAATCAATGAAATTATTAATTACCGCCCTATTACTATACTTTCCAACTTTGCAAAGGAATTTGAGATGTGTGTTTATAATATTAAAATAAGTATTATTTGCAATAGCACAGATTTATATCAAGAGGTGGACTGTTACCAACTCAAATGTGTTTCTCTTACAGAGTATACAATGCATTTTGATTACAATAGCAATACTTACAAGTACCAATGGCCTAATGCTTATTTTTTCATAATAGAAAAGAGGTCAAACTTGTTATTTATCAAATATACTACAAAAAAAACATATTTACCGTGAATCGCCCAAATCTATTTTGATTTCTGGTTCACTTCGATCACAAACTACATTAGTTTTGATTATGCAGCTTATATTGGTTTCAAGTACTTTTGGTTTTGAAATATGAAAAAGAAAATCCCTGCAAGAGAAATATGTTCATTAGAAAATCTGGAACACACGCTTGCGCCAATTTAAATATAGATTTATAGATCAATAGAATTCAGGGGTTATGTACGTTATAGTTTACCTAGCTGTTACTGCATTGGGATGAAATGGATCAAATTGAACTTGAATTTTTTTTACGGGCTTTAAATTTACCATCTTTAATTGTTTACTTATAGCGCTATAAATTCCTCCAGATCTGCTGAAGACACCACTGTAATAAATAGACATAATTCTAAACTTAAATCAGACTCCAATACTTTTATTTTTTGGTTTAAAAAAATAATGTGCAAAACTTTGACATTTGACCCATTTGACTATTGAATGACAACGTCAAACCACAGTGATTATTAGGTGCGTTTTATTCATCCATTCTCTAGTAGAAAAAGTTTGAACAGAATTTGCAAACGCAATAAAACGATAAAATTGTCATCTGTCAAGAATGTCAAATTTAAAATCATCGTTTGATTTATCCATTATCCCGCCCACAGATATAGTTAATATTAATTTAAAAATAGAAATATTATTACAGATATTTCGAAGTATTGCAACTTAATAATCATTTGCTATTAGCTGCACCAAGAATTCCAGTTGACATTATTAGATTAATTATCGAGAAGTATGAAGTATAAAATTATTTTGTAATATTTTTAATAATTCAAAATATTTACTTCTAGTATGACCAATGATGTTATAGCGAAATCTCAATTTGGTACATACATGTAAACAATAAATAAAATATGCTGTCTTTGTTGAACCAGAAATATTGTCCACTTTCATCCTGTACAATTTCTTCCATTTTTTACAACCTGAATCAGAGTCGGAGATCCAAAGCCCAATTGAATTACGATTTACGAATTTTACGATGACAAAAAATAATTGAAAATTATAAGTATTATAACTCATAAACTTACTAATAAAGTATGTTTGGCACATAAGTTTGATATACCAATACCCCCCACTTTTTTCATTCCCTTCATTCGGTCAAAATTCACCGAATGAGAAGTTTGAGCGGAATGAATCAATCGATACAATAAAACGCTCATTCTGTTCAGACTTTCCACACCGGTGGCAAAAGATTGAGCAATAAAACGCGCCAATTCTGTGGTCAAACGTCGAGTGACAAGTGCCATTTGATAAGGCCAATAATTTATACTACACAGGATAGCCGATTTCTCAGATTTCTTAACCCGAAGTGGCGAAGTCATACGTCACCAATCACACTTTCAGACCAATGAACTGGAGTGGGGTAGAATGCTTGTCAATAGGCTTGAGATGCGACTCTATGGGCAAAGACAGGTTATTTTTCATCTCACTCGGGAGTATTTATAACAACCATTTTCTATTTCACTTTGTTATTGTCTTGGTGAGTTCGGTCTACGCACTCTTTTCACTATATTCACTCCTAAAGTACCTAAGGCGTTCGGGTACGGAAGGAGTTAAAATAAAAGTTCCTCTTTGACCGTTCGGAGATGGTGGAGTGGAGTGTGGATCGGGCATGCGCATAAGGTGATTTAAATTGATAATAAGTTAATTGTGAGTGATTCTTTAGTAAATAAATTTTTTTTTGGTTCCCGTGAATATCATTAATATGGAAGAAACTTATACGGTCGTTACTGACAAGTACAATTAAATTTTAAGTACTGGTATGTCACATTGACAATTGACATTGCACTCCGAGAGTTAAAGGAGTAAATTCATATTCGCACTCCGTTTACGCCTAATTACTACAGTCCACTCTGGAGTGCGCAGCCCGAACTCACCTTCTGATCCACCAGCTTGTGGATTGAACAATAACAATGTGAAACAGAAAATGGTTATTATAAATACTCCCGAGTGAGATGAGAAATAAAAATGGCTGCGCCCATAGAGTCGCATCTTGTTTTATTGATACTAGAGGCGAGTTCGGTCAGTCAGGGGCTGGAGCGGGACAAATTTTAGGGTGCTTTTAAATGACATTTAAGCGTGTTAAACTGTCACTAATCGGACTAAAACGAACGCTAAAAGAGTCGTTTGGAGTTAAAAGTGTTAAAGGAGTTAAAGGAACGTGGCAAACCGAACGCAATGAATATGCACATTAGGTTTCTACCCCACTCCAGTTCATTGTTTCAGACGCAGTTCATTATTATGAAAACTAGAGAGAAGGAGGCGAATCGGCAATGGTCAACGTAAGATGGTGATTTTTTTAAAAAATTTGTGAAAAAATCAAAATAATGTGAAAAAAGTACTTGAGTACAAGTAACATGAGTGACAAAAAAACATCAAAGCAAGATTTACGTCGTTTCAGATTGTAAAACAGGATAAAAATCAAATGTAAAACTAAAGAAAACACAAGAAAAAATCAATTCAATGTCTTTTTAAATCTTCTAATGTAAGTAAAATAATGTATTCATGTCTAAATATAATATTTAATGTAAACTAGTCGCAATATGTATCTTATTTATTTTATTTTATTTTTATTTTATTTTATTACAAATTTCTATATAATATAAAATTTTACAGTTATAGATGCTGACTTACAAACAACAATAATTATGTATTAAATTTAACTTACTAGAAAAGAAAATGTATTTTTTATAGAGTTTTAATGTTAGATAAAGAGTTGCTACTGTTATTATTTTTTTTTTACCCTAATTGTGCAATTGTAAATGTTTTTTTATAGGATACTAAAAGTTTAGAACAGTGGCAGCATATATATTGTTTCTCCTGCCGATAAAACACTTTCTTGATGTTGTTATATACTTTTTAGAAGATATCAAATATTATGAGACTATTTTTACTGATGGTACTGTTAGCAAAATAAAAAGGGGAAAGCTGAAATTAGAGGATGAGGTAATACCATGTACATTCCCAAATCTCCCTTTATACTTGTATTACAACAATAAAAAATATGTGTGTGTTTCATTTTACTCTTTAAACTGTATACCTATTAGTTCAATTCAAAAAAAAATTGCCACAAAATTGTACTTATTAAATTTCAGCATTTAAGAAACCTTTTCAAATTTGGTCATACGTACCTAATTTGTATTTTATTTAGATAAAATTAAATAATTTACCAATTAAAACATGACAAAATTATGCATAATTCCCATAAGAAGCCATGTATTTTGAACAGCGTATGCAGTACCAGCGCCAATGCGGTTAATAATAGAAGCTCAATTAACATGCGTTTTTTGGGACCGTATTTTGAGTATGCAGATTCGTCTCCTTATCTCTAGTCTTCATATTCATTAGAGTGTGAACATTGTGAATTTATTTAAATCGATATCCGAATAACTTAATCCATTAAACAAATTGAAATCTCAAATGAATGCAACGGAATTTAACAATATCAACAGATTCACAATTATTAGCCAGTTTCCGCCATGACACACAAGTATTAGAAATTAAAAATTTAAAAAAACCGACTTCAAAAACGTGCAGATGCCATTACCACATCTTAACGAAATTTATATGGAACCACCCCTGACGTACCCCCTTACTAACAAAAAAAGAATCATATAAATCGGACAAGGTGGTAAAGCATTATCGCTAAACATACATAAAAAATGAAGAGTGAGGATTTTCTCATGAATCCAATTATTAGATTTTTACCAAATTTATATGGGACCACCCCTGAAGTACCCCTTTCTAACAAAAAAAGAATCATTGAAATCGGACACCGTGTTAAAGCATTATCGCTAAACATACATAAAAAATGAAGAGTTTGAGGATTTTCTCATGGACCCAATTATTAGATTTTGACCAAATTTATATGGGACCATCCCTGAAGTACGCCCTTTCTAACAAAAAAAGAATCATTGAAATCGAACACCATGTTAAAGAATTATCGCTGAACATACATAAAAAAAATATTGCGACGAATTGAGAAACTCCTCCTTTTTTTGAAGTCGGTTAAAAATCAAAGAAATATCTGAAATAAGCGACTAAGGACCGATTCCACCGATGTATTAAACGAAGTTTAAATTGACATTTTTACATTAACAATGTCATTTTAATCTCCGTTTAACACGACGGTGGAATCGGCCCTAAATAATTTGAAAATTCGGAAACAAATCTCAAAAATCTTCCTACGAATATATAGTTCCTACGAATTATTATACCATCCCCTATCGCAAGCCGAACCCCAAGGTTGAAAACAAATACTTGGGAGATTTTAAAATAATAAATATTTCGACGAAAAAGTTATAGAAAACAGTAGATTTCAATTTCAGGAAGTGCCATCATGCCATGAACTTTCGTAAAAACAAAAATTTAAAACAATATAAATATGTCGATTTTCATGTTTTTTTTTAGAATAATTATTTTTTTTACTATATGAAATATATTTCATTTTGTTTATTTACTCTTGACAAGGCGCAGTACGCAGTGTGGTATTTTTTTTTGTATAAAAAAAATGGAAAAAATCAAATTTTCCATAATCCCCACCCTCTTCATAGTGGAATCTTATTATATACGGAAACCTTAGACTAGGTATATAAAGAGAGGATTCGTAACGTCGCAGGAAATCTTGTTCCATTCTGACACCAATGCTATTTGACCAGAGGCGTAAAATGTTGGAAATAAAACAATGAACTCTTATTTATGTTATCAGTACTGTATTGATCTTTTTAGGTATTCGCTCCGTGCGCGACAGCAGTGCCAATTTGTTTTGGTATTAAAGGACTATTTCTGCCTATACTGACAAATACAATTTTTAATAGAATTCGTAAATAAAAAGTATATATGTTAGTTTTAATAAAAGTATATGGATTTGTAAAATAAGCAAAACATTAATTTATTATTATATATTTTTCCCGCTTAAATTAAAGAAAATTATGTATAATCAATAAAAATCAATAATAAAATATAGACAGGCAACAGTATTTACTGGAAAATGTATGAGAAGTTGCCTAAGTCTAATAAGGTGTCATTGAAGAATTAGCCTATTCTGTCAAAATAAAAAAATACCATTTAATATAGCGTGAAGTTAAAATGTATAGAAAAGGATCGTTATTTATATTTTCATTTTTGTTCGAAAGAAAACATAAAATGATTGATTAAAACTGGTTTCCCATCAGTAAGCCACAAAATTGCATTCCAGCCACATATAATCAAAGGCAGAAATCTTGAAATCTAGTCCTTGCTGAATGAACATTTAAGGGATTTAAGGGATATTAAAGAACATCGTAAAATGATAATTTATTGTTTATTTAAAACCTTTCAAGTTTCTGATGTCTACTATTTTTAGCATTACTGTTATTATCACAAAAATAAAGGTAATTTTTCTTCTTTTTGTACATCTATCCATTTATTTCTTTGATTTAATTCCCACTTTGCTAGTGAAATTTTTTATATAAGTTTCACTGTTTTTTTTTTGCTAGTATTTGTACAATTTTCAATACAGCAACTCCGATTGCTTATTGTGTTGTTTTTACCTACTTTTTTGAAAAAAAATAAAATGTATACGTGTATTTGATATGCGAAAATTACAAAATATCGCCCTAAAATGCACGAATTATCCGCAACTAGCGCTAGTATCGCTTTTGCTTCCCTTTCCATGACTTCGCACGGAGCGAATAAAGCAAGTTAAAATCCTAAAAACAAAATGAATGAGGAACAATAAATAAGACACAAGAAAAATATATATACAACGTGCGCCACGCTCAACGGGACGGAGCCTGGGTTAGCAAACTACAAACGATTATAAAAATTTCTTCGTCACAAATATACAAATTAACGGCGGCTACAAATTAAAATTAGTTGCATATATACAGGGTGTCCCAAACCAGAATACCAATATAAAGTTATATTATTTTAAATAGGACACCCTACATTTTATTTTAATTTTAAGTTCTTCTCTTAAAAATAATCTTAATTTAATAAAGATTTCCTATTTCCCTCTTTGATAATTACCGATTTATTTGATATGTTTTGAAAATGTAGTGCTGTCGAAATTAATTAATTATTCTTGATTACAAAATAATTAATATGATAGGCGCCATGATGCGTAAATTTTATGTTGATACTACTGACAAGACAGAATCGGGTGACCGAACTCAGCAATTAGTGGACCCACTGGAACCTGTGATCGGAACAGCGCGAGCGCGGAGCTGGAATTGCCGATCGCACATCTTGTACTTTGATAAGTTTGATGCCTTGTTGCCAAATAAATAAAATTAAAAAAGATGACGAAAACGGAAAAAAGTGTTAGCAAACTAATTAGAGGTAAATAATATGCAAAATGAAATACCTAGAAGTTTAGAAACGTAACGCATTTATTTTAAAAATCTAGCATTCGACCGACAGAACATCCAACATTTTAGTGCCCAATGAGTTTTTAACAGAATCCGATCAACGGCCGCGAGTCGTTCGTCGTCCCGTCTTCCGTCACCGCACCCAGATGCGATGACTGATGCTTTTGTTAGAGGAAGTGCTAATTAATATGCATAAAATTCATTCAAACGTATTAACAATGAACTTAAATCGGTTATATCTACATAAACGCAATAAAATAGTTAATATATTATTGGTTGTTTTTAGTCTTTAAACCAGTGAAGTTTTAATTTACTCTTGTTTCATAAATATGGATGAAGGAACTTTAAATGATTTATTAGAGTGTTCAGTATGTCTTGAGCGGCTAGATACTTCTAGTAAAGTGCTTCCATGTCAACACACTTTTTGTAAAAAATGTCTTGAAGATATAGTTCAAACACACAAGGAACTTCGGTGTCCAGAATGTAGGATCTTAATTTTATCTAAAATAGATGAATTGCCTCCGAACGTTCTTTTGATGCGAATATTGGAAGGTGTAAAAAATGCAGGAAACCTTTTACCTAAGAAGTTACATAAACCCATTCGTAATCCTGTTTTGCCTACTCCAGTTTTACAGACAACTCCTCTGCATACTCCCCATGGTACTCCAGATCATAGGATTAATTCCAACAAACAGCCACCCAATTTGTTGCCTCATCAACCCTATGCAAAGGCAATGTATGATTATACTTCTAAAGAAGCAGGGTAAGTCATAGAATTCTTAAACCTAATTAAATTCATAGATTTAATTTGAGTAATATAACAATACTATTTGGTGTCCATTTTACAACTCTGTAAAAAGGATTGAAAATGTCCAAAATAAATATTTACGATATTGTGCCTTTAAACTTGGTCTAGCGACAGGTACATATAATTATTCCACAATTCTGAACTTAAACCTCCCAACCCTTGTAAATCGAAGAATCTTCATGGATATGTCATTCCTCTATAAGATCATAGCCAGGATAGTTACTTCTGATGAGTTATTATCCATGATTGCATTTAGAGTTCCCACAAGAACTACAAGGAATAATAGTCTATTTGCAATTCAAATTCACTAATTATGCTTATCATGCGCCCCTACCTAGACTAATTAAACTTGTAATCATTACATAGATGTTACTGAGTGTTCAACTAATCAATTCCAGAATGAAAATTCATATAATTTTTATATGATTTTGCCAAAATCCCCCTTAATTTTATACGATTGAGCAGTTTTACCATTGACTAATTTGTAAGTAAATATACAGGAATTATATTTTCTACGATTAGAAAGGGACAACAATGTAAATCTATTTAGTATCAACCTATGATTAAATTCCTGCGGTGGATATCTGCCATCCAATTTAAATGATTAATATTTTAGAAATGACCTTTGAACATTTTCTATGTGGGAATTATATAAATTATACAATGGACTCCAGATTAAGGCAGCATATTCCATGCGAGATCTAATATAGGCAAAATAGAGGACTTTTAAGCAATGAAGAGAATTAAAGTCTTTGCAAGTTCTACAAATAAATCCGAACATTTTCTTTGCATTTAGTATCATTTTATTCATATGATCTGAAAAGCTCAAGTTTACTATTAAAAATAATACCAAAATCTTTTGTTTGATCAACTGCCACTAGTGGAGTATTATTAATAGAATTTTGGAACATTGTATTGTTGGTTTTTAAAGAAAATCAAATTAATTTGCATTTTTCCATATTAAGTAGTAATTTGTTCTCAGTACGCCATTGGTGCAAAATATCTAGATCATTTTGCAATATCAAGCAATCGGCTAGTGAATTGATGGTTCTAAAAATCTTTAGGTCATCTGCAAATAATAAGTAGTCACTTAAAAAGTTTTCTTCGATGTCGTTTACAAATAGAGAAAATAATAGAGGTGCTAGATTGCTGCCCTGTGAAGCACCACTGGTAAGATTTGTGGCCTCTAAATTAACATAGAGCATACGATTTTTGAGATAAGACTGAAATATAGCGATAAGGTCATGATTGAAACCGAAACTTTCCATTTTTTTTTTAAAGAGTGCTATGATCCATTTTGTCAATGGCCTTTGAGAAGTCAGTAAAAATTTGTTGATGGAAATTTCAATTTCAAATATTATTAAAACATTTGTTTTTTAAATACTTAGATGGGTTTCAAAAGAAATGGCATACGAAAAATAAATGGATTTCAAAAGAAATGGTATATGTTTTGTATTAATATTTTTAAAATTGTATTACAATTAAACAATTATAACAAACAAGTTATAATATAATATAAAGGGTTTGAAAAGTATATTTAAGAAGAAATTTAGGGAATTAAACCACCCTACTCTGTGACGTCACGCTTTAATTATGAGTGATGCACAAAATAACGTGTTTTAAGTGATTTTATAGAAGGCACTTAGTTTCATGGATCTGTTGACATGTTGCCATCTCTTTTTAGCTACAGGCTTTCGCGAAAACCTCTCGCTCCCTCGCACTCACTCAGAATAGTGCAACACAGAGACGCGATTAGCCAGAGCGCACCGTCGTACCAAAAAATAGAGATTAACACGTATGAAAACAATAAAATTATTAAAATTTAATTTATATTTGTATGTTATTTATTTTAAAATAATGTGTTTTTATGAAAAGTAACTGGGTGTTCACTGCACAATTGAACCAATGGAGAAACCGCCCCTGACTTTATAGTACAAGGGGTTGATTTTAGGATGATTTGCTACCCGGCAAAATATTCTGAGATAAAGTTAAAAAAACTATTTAGGAGCTCTGTGGTTTTGTAAATATGTTTTTTAATTTTTTCCTTATAACAAATTAGATTAAAGATAACCTTTTGTAACTGAGGGCTCCAGTGCATAAACCGGTCAAGTTAATTTTTTTGCAAAAATTAGTTAATATATTCGTGCACAGTTTTAAATTTCGAATCGTTCTGTGCAAAAATGAGTTGCCTAGCTCGATAACTAAGTATACTGTGACATATAGTAGGTTGAATACCTTTCGATACTGTGCTGCATATAGTGGCCAAGTCTGAGACTTGACTGGTTTATGCACATTGATCGGACACTTTGGCAAAGGCCATCAAACAAGAAAACGCTTGTGCATAGAATGAAATAAAAAAAAAATTTTGAAACATTTTTTTATCTCTCCCGAATATTTTGTCAAAATGGACTTAGCTGGTGTATGCACTGAACCTCTCAATTACTAAAATAATTTAATAATATATGTTGTAATTTAAAGAAAAAATTGTGCAATTTAGATACATTCGATTCCTTGTAGTCTGGGTACAATAAATTAATTCATGGTCCAGTCAATGGATTCATAGCCCAGCCATGGATTGATTTACTGGTGGCAGGACAATATATTAAATCTACTTTCTTCATAATACCATTTTTTAAATGACCCATATTTATTGTGAAACATTGCAGGGACCTGAACTTCAAAAGAGGTGACATTATAATTCTAAAGAAAAGAATTGACAGCAACTGGTATCAAGGAGAATGTTGTGGAAAGCAAGGAGTGTTTCCATTATCATATGTACAGGTAAGAAACATATAAATTCTAAAATTGTAACTTAAAGCCTGCAGAATTACATTTGGAAAGTATCTCTTCAACCCGGATTTGCCATTATTTAATAAAAGTATAAAATCAAATTATTGAGGTAATGCCTAAATTACTGGATAAATTAGTATCAGTACAAATTGCTTAATTGGTTTTTTAAAGGTAGTGTTCTTCAGCAGCAGCATTTTTTCTCATTTGGTAAATTAACAAATCTGGGACAGAAGTTGGAGAGGCTTTTGGTAGGTAGAGAGAAGGTAAACGTCAAACCCAGTTGGAGGACTTTGAGAATTTCGCGGTAATTTTTGTTCGCCATTGTCGTATCATAGAATAAAAATAATACCAAACATTTTATATTATTATCGGCGGAATCGGGCTATTTATGGACTAAAAATAATTTAATAGGTATAGGATTTGATGTGTGCCGTATTAAGGTAGTTCACTCGCGACAGTCGTACACAAAAATATCGCCCTATAGTGAATACCAACCGTTCGAGATTCTTAAATCTAAAGTAAGGTTATTTTTGCAACAGACTGTACACACAACACATGTGATCCTACATACAAATATGGTATTATATCGCGTAAAATCCATCCGGCAACGTCGCAAATATATTGTGAAACGTCAAATCTATTCCTAAAGTAAAATAAATGTAAATATCAAAATGTTTCATTGTCCGAATCAATTAATTGAGAGATAAAGGAAAATTTGTTAAGCAGAACGTCCTCAACAAACGCAAAAAATCAATTTTGGCTATGAATAATAATGCAAAAAAATTGAGAAAGGAAACCCCAAGCTTGAAAAATAACCTGTGCAGTGGTCGCATCGTGGAATTACTAGAGTTGAGAAAACATTTAAAATGTAGTTGGTGTGAAAGAGTTCTTTCTCTTGAAAATATTACAAATGAAACACGAAAGGGCCTTTATTCAATTTTAAATGTTAAATGTAATGAATGTAATATTGAAAGTATAGTACTTACGGACAAAGTTCATGCAACAAAAAGTGAAGTTAAGCATTCAGATGTCAACACTAAAGCAGTTCTAGGTAAATTTAAAAAAATACATAAGTATTTGTTATGTTTATAATTTTTTTATTATAATTAATATAATTTTATTTATTTAAAGGTGCTGTCCATTCAGGGTTTGGTCAAACTGCTTTAAATAAATTTCTTGTTGTCATGAACGTTCCTACGATATCATCAATACTACAGAAAATCATTACTTTTATTTGTATTTTTTTATGACTTCCTCATACTAGTAAGTTAAAATTTTAAATTACTTTATATTCATTTTTTTTTGTGTAACTGTATTTTATTTTGAAGGCATGTTTAATTAAAATTATATTCATCTTTTGCATATTTATTTAATTTTGAAGACATGTTTAAATATAATTAAATTTAAATTGTTAAATCATATCAACCTAAAGTATAAACAACGTCCCTTCCCAGAAGGTCTCGATAAAGTGATAAACTTGACTTGTCCGCGGCAATAAAAAGATTGGGAAGCACTGATCTAACAGACATTTGAATTAGCAGGCGTTGAGTGTATTGATTACAACATTGCCAAGTTGTAATCACAATACGCCACTATGCGTCGAACATTTTTATTTTAAGGTAGTTCACTCGCGACAGTCGTACATAAAAATATCGCTTAATGGTGAATACCAATAGTTCGAGATTCTCAATGCTAATCAATTTTATTTTTGTAAGAGACTGTACAAAACACATGTAAGCTTATATGATCTTATATATATATATATATATATATATATATATATATATATATATATATATATATATATATATATATATATATATATATATATATATATATATATATATAGGTAATCGTACGTTGAGGCACCAAAAACGCATTTATATGGGCGAAGTGGCACCTATATTTACGTTGTTGCACCATTGCAAGGTGCCTGAACGTTTTATTGCATATTTGGTTGTTTTAACACCTTATTAACCCCTCTACCAAATTTCAGAAAGGTGCCTTTTCGACCATTTTTCTATAAAAACACGATTTTAGTTGAACCGTATACTCCCCAGAGGTCAGGCCGGTCGCTAACAACGCTCAGACGTTTACGACGTAGTGGCACCTCGCATGTAAAAATGCTTCCTTACTTTGTGGCACCTCACTTTGTATACATTTTCTTACTTCGTGGCACCCCAATTTGTTTTCGTAATGGAACGTAAGAGCACCTTAGGTCCTTTGGTGAAAATATCCCAGATACCGGCTAAAATATATGTCGACGAACGAAAGAATATTATATTATGTATGATTCAATTCCAAATTTGACAATATAAATTTACTTTTTCAGTGCTAAAATAAAATTATATAAATAAATTAAAATAAATTAAAATAAATTAAAATAAATTAAAATAAATTAAAATAAATTAAAATAAATTAAAATAAATTAAAATAAATTAAAATAAATTAAAATAAATTAAAATAAATTAAAATAAATTAAAATAAATTAAAATAAATTAAAATAAATTAAAATAAATTAAAATAAATTAAAATAAATTAAAATTAATTAAAATAAATTAAAATAAATTAAAATAAATTAAAATAAATTAAAATAAATTAAAATAAATTAAAATAAATTAAAATAAATTAAAATAAATTAAAATAAATTAAAATAAATTAAAATAAATTAAAATAAATTAAAATAAATTAAAATAAATTAAAATAAATTAAAATAAATTAAAATAAATTAAAATAAATTAAAATAAATTAAAATAAATTAAAATAAATTAAAATAAATTAAAATAAAATAAAATAAATTAAAATAAATTAAAATAAATTAAAATAAATTAAAATAAATTAAAATAAATTAAAATAAATTAAAATAAATTAAAATAAATTAAAATAAATTAAAATAAATTAAAATAAATTAAAATAAATTAAAATAAATTAAAATAAATTAAAATAAATTAAAATAAATTAAAATAAAATAAAATAAAATAAATTAAAATAAATTAAAATAAATTAAAATAAATTAAAATAAATTAAAATAAATTAAAATAAATTTAAATTAAAATAAAATTATTTTTATGTTTTGCAATATTATGTAAAGGGAAAACTAGAGATCATTTTTTTAATATCTATTTTTTTATTTATCTTAGAACTGACAAGTATTTGTTATAATAATACTTTCCCTAATTCAATTTCACGAGTAAATTTCCTGAAGCCGACAGCCTGTGACGGCTATTATTTTTATTTGCCGTGGCGCTCAGTGACTTAGAGATGATTTATAGGGGCTATTTGACCTAAAGGTGAAGAAAACCCGAAAAACCTCAAGCATTATCATCGAGGCGGTAAAGCATGGCGAATTTGTAATATGGATGTCAGATTAATAAAAATTAAATTACTGAATACGGCACACACCAAATTCTATAACGAACCATACAAATTATTTACAAATTTACCTGTTTTGCCGTAGAATTCGAAGCCGTTTGTCTCTCAATTATAAAATTGCCTACAAATATAAATGCCTTAGACAACTACGCTACCGAGCCAACTATGTTGTTTTTGTATTACTTAAACTAATATGGTGTATTACATTACGAGTATGAAAATTGAAATTTTTTACTCGAGTGGGACACAAGTGTATAAAATCACTTTTACACAAGTGATTTACAATATTTTTCCTACGACTATAAATTCATCTTATAAAAAAAATCAGGAAATCTGGCTATGAAGTTCAATCAAAATGGGTCTGGTTTTTTTTATATGTTTTAATAAATAAGTTTTATAGCGTTTTACCTCTTGTGTTTTGTCGTAATTAAAAACTTAATTTCATTTATAAACACTTTCATAGGATAATAACGGTGAAATAACACTAGGTATAAAGAAATATTAGTTCATTTTTTTTAATACAATATATAATAAGATGAACAATCGTGAACAAGAACTTTCTTATAATTCTACTTTAAATTTTTTGCAGAACAATAATCAAAATGGTACAAAATAAATAGCGAAAAGAAAAGATCGGCCATAAGATTATTGAAAAGTACCTATTTAAAATAAATAACAAAACACGTATTTTTTCAATTTTCATATTTAAAAAAAAAAACGTTGCTTCCATTGCGCTGCGATATGGTCGAAACATGCAAAATTAATAAAATTGAGCGCTCTGTGAATTGAGCTAACAAGCTTGTAGCATAAATTATCTAATCAAATATATAAATAAAAAAAAATAGAAACATTATTTTAAAAATTTGTTAAAAATAATTATCTAGAATCTAGATATAGAAATCAATATTCAGGATTTAAATTTACTATCTTGTGGCATAATAAATACGTCAATATTCTTTATGCAAATATTAGTAATGACCTTAAATCCTTTAAAACATGGTGTACTGCAAATTTTCTCTCATTAAATTAAAAAAAAAAAAACAAAAATGCTAAATTTTAAATGTAATATTCCTGATATTTTAATAGATATGGATACTGTAGAAGTCACAAACTGTACAAAATTTTTGAGTTTAAATATCGACACGGATTTTAAATTCAAATCACATGTGGATCCACTTTTAAAAAACTCGCATCGGGTTGTTATGTCATTAGAACTACCTCTCATGAATTAGGAGTTTGTGCAGCAGAAACTGCATATTATACGTTAGTTGACTCTCATTTACGTTATGCTATTCAGTTTTGGGGAGTCTGTTCTGCCGAATTATTTGGTAGAGTCTTTATAATGCAGAAACGGGCAATAAGGTTCTTATGTAGAGCACACAGATTAGTTTTATGTAGACCGCTGTTCTTACAACAAGAAATATAAACATTACCTTCTTTATTTATCTTAAACACTTGTTGCATGATCCATAACAACAAGTCGAAATATAAATCAAATTCCCGTGTAACTCGCCAAATGAGTAACTTGAAATTGCCTATTCCCAAAACTGAACTTATAAGAGACTGCCAAGTACGGAAGCATCTCCATATCATGGGGCTGTCAGGATCCGCACTCTGCA